AATATACAAATGGAGCCGCAGGAAAGAGAAATTCGTCCCGTACCAGAGGATCACCACGCACAGCGCTAGGGACTGGGAGGCATTTGTCATTGAGGGAGAGGCTTTCCTCGCAGTGGTCAACCACAGAGAAGGTACCCAGACCTTATATTCTCTATGGGCCTGGCTCAGCTGGGGCAGGCAGCCCTTCGGGACCACAGCTCGCTGCTGCAGGCACCCCGCTTAAGAGCATCCTCCTGTTGCTGTGGAAACACTGCAGCTCCCTGAGCATCGTCTGCCAGAGTGCAAGGCAAAACCTGGGAGTCAGTGCATGGAGCTCAGTGCCATGTCCCCCAGGAAATGTGAACCCTTGCAGACCCTCTCCTTTGAGGAAAGAAAAGCACTTGGGGAAGTGGATGATGTGGTCCCCTCTGAGTTTCTGACAGGACAGGAGTGGGGACCACATCTTTGCTGAATCTTTCTGCTACTTTTTGTTTTTTTCCCCAATGATACATGACATGGTGGGGTGGTGAGAGCAGCTGCGTGGGTTTGCAGGGGCTGAGCCTTTTAATAGGCCTTGTGAACACACAGGAAACCAAGGGAAGCCAAGTGAGAGCCTGCTGATGTCCCGCCCTCCCTGTACACCCTGCAGACAGGATCCAGCCTTTTTCCCCTCCCAGGCCATGAACTGTTCTGGGGTGGGGAATGCACCCCACAGCACAGGGGATGAATGGGTCAATACCACAACCCTGGCTCTCCAGGGTGGGTTCAGATATTGGACCACTGGGCTCCTTCTCTGCCACCAGAAGTGGCTCCTCTGGCACTGGGCTCAAAGCTGTTGGCAGGTTGCTTGGACACTGGCTGCCTGTAAGCTGGGCTAGAAACTCCCCGTGACATTTGTCGGACCCCGCCACAAGTCTTAAGTGCATAAAGAAGTACATCATAGTTCTTTATGGAAGAAATGTGTAACAGGTAGACATAGCATTAGAAGCAGAAACAATTATAACCACTACAGGACCTAAATTAGACCAAGTTCTGCATTTCTACATGTTGGACAGGTCTCTGAGCAGCCTGGTCTAGTGGAAGGTGTCCCTGCCCGTGGCAGGGGGTTGGAACTGGATGAACTCTAAGGTCTCTTCCAACCCAAACCATTCTGGGATTCTATTATTCCATGACTTACTCCTGTGCCAGTGGCAGCAGAAAAGTCCCTTTGGCAGCCATACACTTCATGTAAGGGTTAAGACCATCATGGTCAAGCCAAACTGGGGCTTGACCCAGTGGAGGGTCAGTCCCTGAGGGGCTGCCACTTATCCATGTGGCCATTTCCCACATACCCCATTCTTCCTGCAGCCCTTCTTGCCAAAATCTCTTCTGTTGCAATGCAGGCTGCCTGTAAACCCATTAACAGGGTACAGCAGTGCTTAGTGAGTGTGGGCTGAAAAGGGCTGGTGGTACCCTCCTCCTGTCCCAGTGAAACCAGCTCTTTATTAGAAAAATGTCTCTGGCTGGAGGGGTTGTGGCAGGCTGAAGGTGCAGAAAGGTTTTTAGTTTTAAAGCCAGCTGAGTCCCACAGAAACACAAGGTCAAGATCCTTGAACAGAGCCCAGGAGCCAGATGGAGAACAGGCTTTAGTGCTTGTGGGTTCATCCCAAGTACTCGGCACAGGGTAGGTTGCAAAATGTGGCATCCCCTCCCTCTTCCTGGAGTTTGTGCCGTCATCAGGGATCCACACATGGACGTCTCTGGCCTTCTCCAGGGTTCAGGAGCTGAGCATGGGGACTTAGCAAAGAAGTGCTGAAGAAACGTCAGTGCAGCACCATTCCAGCTGTGGGCCTCTCCCAGATGTGCGAGCTTGTGTGTGAAGGATGACAGCAGCCAATGATTTCAGTAGCTTTGGGGACTCATCTGCGACTGGCCCCACTACACATGGGACAGCCAGCAGAGCTTGGCCACCCCAGGATGCTAGCACAGTGCCTCTGTATGGGGAGGTAGCAGGGATGGAGGCTTTAGGTAGGGATGGAGGCTCTAGAGTCTCTTTGGCAGGTTCTTGGGGAGCAAGCAGCCTTGAAACCTGCTGGCAAACATTTCTGTAGCTGAACCTGTTTCTGGGTCTTTTTTCTTATGCAAACCACATATTCCTTTCTCTCATGGTACACATCCGTCTGTCTGTCTGCCCAGGGAATAACCACAACATAGACAGCGTAATATACAGGTGGAACCCCAGGACAGGGTTGTTTGAAACCAACCAGACCATCCCTACTTCTGGAGCCTATGACTGGGAATTTTTCACCATTGGGCCGTATTCCTTCCTGGCTGTGGCTAACACATTCAATGGCACATCCACTAAGATCTACTCGCACATCTACATCTGGCTCAGTGGCTCCTTCCAGCTCTTCCAGTCTATCCTGGTAAGGATTGGCCTCTGATCAAACACTATTCCTCAGTCCCTCTTTGTGTTTGGACTAGCCAGGGGATAATTACAAAGACAGATGCTCTTCAGACTTCTGGAAAGGCAGTGGTACTTTCCTACTGATTCTCCCTTAAGGACTGACAGACCAAGGCTTATATTTTCCCTTTAGGGGTGGGTAGCTTCCTCCAGCAGAGCTCCCCACACCTTGCAGCATCCTTGGCTTTCAAAGGCTTGTCCACATCCAGCTTCTCATGTGTCTTCCTTCCCCAGACTTTTGGTGCTGCTGACTGGGAGGTGTTTCATATCGGGGACAGAGTCTTCTTGGCTGTTGCAAACAGCCACAGCTATGACAGCGGGATGCCAGCACCCTCCAACTTCTATGCCATCAACTCCTCCATCTATGAGCTGAACGTCACTGCCCAGATGTTTGTCAAGTTCCAGGACCTCCTCACCTACAGGTACCTGTGCAAAGAGTCAGGGTGCTCCTCAGTCACACCCTTCCTCTGAGCAACCTGGAGGCCTCCTGGAGGATTCATGCTTGGATGTTGCCAGGGGCTAACACTGGTGGGAAGAGCAATGGGTGACAGGTCCTTGGCACAAAATCCCAGTGGGAAGTGAGAGAAGGCCCTGAGTTTGGGAACAAGGGTGGATTTCCTTTCAGCAACAGCTTGGGAAGGGCAGAGTTTTCTGTGTATCACCAGAGTGGCAGAGCTTGGTGTGGGGTGGGCTCAGCTCTGCAGCACGCAGTCCCTTCCTCAGCTGGCCATGGAGCGGCCACCTCACCTGCCCCTCTGCTTGCTTCATCCCCAGTGCCCTGGACTGGGAGTTCTTCTCGGTGGGAGACGACTCTTTTCTGGTGGTAGCAAACTCCTTTGATGGCTTCACCTTCTCCGTTAACAGTATTATATACAGGTACTGCTGCGGGAGGAGGGCAGGGCTGGGTGGACGGGTGGTTGTTCCCAGCAGGAACAGACCTGCCGGGAGCCCAGCACAGGGGCAACCTCTGCAGATGCTGGTGCGTCTGCCAAAGGTGGACAGGTAGGACTGCTACCTGATTCTGGGGAGGTTTCTGGGCAGGAATGAAAAATCCCAGTGAAGGACATCCCACCCTGAACCACAGCAGGGAGCTGGGAGATGCCAACCCCATGGCTGAGCATTTCTGCCCCCTTTCATGTGCCCAGCTTGTGCCCCGAGTGCTAACTGCCCTCCCTGTGCAGGTGGCAAGGCTATGAAGGCTTCGTAGCGGCTCACCACCTCCCCACTGTCGGCTGTAGAGACTGGGAGGCATTTCACACCGCTGAGGGCTCCTACCTCCTCTACACCAGTGCCAAGGAGCCACTTTCCAAGGTGCTCAAGCTGAAAACCACCTGAGGTGGCCGAGATATGCTCAGCTCATTGCCAGGATCGGGGCGAGCTGTGCATCGAGGTGAAGATGGACCACAGAGGCTCGGAACGGCGTGGGATCAGCCCTGCGGCTGGCTGTTTGTGTGCTCCACAGGACGTGAAGGAGGAGGATGGGAGCTCCAGGGCTCCCTGCAGCCTTGTCCAGGGCTGGCAAAGTGGCTGCGACCCTGCTTTGGTGCTGTTTGTCCTGGGCAAGCTTTCCTGCCATGCTCCAGAGCTGCATCCTACACAGGGGTCCTGGTGCTCAGGTGTTTCCTGGGGCTCGCTGAGCCCCAGCGCTTGACACACTCCAGCCAGGAGGTACACAAGTGCCACTGGTTGTGGCCAGAGCTCGCAGGGAAGAGGCTGAGCAGAATGCTGTGCTGCCCACCTGTGTGCTGAGCATTGAGCAGACCCCTGTGCTGCCAGGGCGGGTGCGTGGCAAGGGGTTGAAAATGGCCTGAGAAATGAGGGGAAAATGGTGGCTTTGGGCTTGGCTCTGGCTACCCAATGCCTAGGGCTGCGATGCTGCTGAGGACCCATCCGGTTTGACACTGCACCTCTTTGTATGAGATTGGTGACTCCTGAGCAAACCTGCTGTGTGCTGGGACAAGCCCAGCTACCATGGGCATGGGAAAGTCCCAAAACTGCTCCAGGTGAAATCATGGCCTCTTTTTGTTTCCTCGGCTTTTCTGGGGCACTCTTCTGCTTAACCAGAGCTCTAATAAATTCTGTGCACCAGCCTTCATCCCACAGGCAAGCTGCAGGTATCTGAGCTGCTCTGCAGAGGCTTTCCTCCATGCCACCCCTCTGCATGGCTTTCCTCCAAGCCACCCCTGATCAAGACTGGGCCATGCCCATGGCCTATGAAGACAAGGTGGTCCTGAGCACAGTAGCGTGCTGGGGTGAGAGTGCCCCTCTGCTTCTCCCGTGAGGACCCTCTGCCTTTCCTGCCTGGCTCAGCACATTGCTCAGCCTTCCCTGGCCCTGCTGGAAGAAGTTTCCAGCCCCCCAAGAAAGGGCTGGGTAGGTAATGGCCTGAGCTGCCCTGGGGTGCAAGCCTGGGAGAGCCGCCACAGGCAGACCCTGCAGAGCTCCCTGTTTCCCCAGCTCAGCTGTGGCTGCAGTTGGCTCTGATGGGAAGGTCCATTTCTTGCTTGTAAAACAAGGCAGAACTTGATCTGCTTCCGCTGCCCTGAGCCATGAGCAGTGTCTGTGTCTCTAATGCGGCCCTGAGCAAGGATGAGATAAGGCAAGATGCACCAGGTGAGATGCAGAGGCAGCATATGGCCAGCTGGCTCCTGCTCAAAGCAGAATGAGGTGAGGATGGAGGGGATGTAGCTTAATGGCAGTCGCACTGGTACATTGGATTTAGGCTGGTCTGATTTGGGACAGATTGAATTAGGACAAGTGCAAACCCCTCAAGCACCACCACCCTTCCTGGATGCCCAGCTCACAGTGCAGTGCAAACCCCAAGGCTTTTCCTACACGTAGGGTTTTATTGAGAAATCAAAGGTTTGGGACATCACCCCCAGGTTGCTGCTGGCAGGCAGAGGCTGCTGAGATGCTGTATGGTGACTGGGCCTGATGTCATGCTCTCTGCAAGGCTGGTCCCTCACTAGAGCCAGATCCCACTGCACAAAGCTACCCTCCCTCTGCATCCCAGGCTCCAGGTCTTCCTAGAAGTCCACAAGATCCCCTACCTTCATCTGTCTCTCCCAGGGTCTTGTTCTCTCCAAACCACATGGACCACAAGCACGTGGCTGGGACTGCTTTCCCTGTGAGCCCAGCCCTGGCAGGGGAGAAGGGGTCTGTGTGTAGGAGAGTCTTCCCCAGGAGCCTGGGCTCCATTGACAGGTCTGCATGGGGTGTCCCAACATCCCTCCCCATGCCATTTGCTCACACTCAGGCCACCATCACTGGGAGGGGTGAAGTCAGTGGCACTCATTTGCAGGACTGGAGCAAATACTGGAAAATCCCATCAAGAAGCTTTGAAGATCACCAGGTTGCCACTGGCTCTCTGCAGAGAAGCTGGGAAAGGGATGTTCCAGTCCTGCGCTACAGGGCAGTGCTGGTGGTCTCAGCATGGCCCTGGGTGCTTGGCAGTGATTTCAGGTAGTCCACGTGCTTGCAGGTGTCCTCTCGGTTGTGCCGGACATAGCAGATCACATAGACAATGACCATGGCAAACCAGCCAAACATGGTGATGAACATGGCCACGTCCGTGGTCCTCTGGCGCACGCTGCAGAAGTTGACACCGGCATCCAGGACCTGGAGCAGCGGCTTGCCCACGTACTCCTCTCGTGGGGCCGTGTGGCAGGTGATGTCCTGGACGGAGTCAGGGTCCAGCCGTGCTTCCCACAGCACCTCCTGCAAGGCACACTCACAGTGCCAGGGGTTGTTGGCCAGCCGGAGCTTGGCATTGAGAGCCAGCAAGGCCTCCTTGGGGATGCTGCGGATGCGGTTGCTGGAGAGGTCGAGCGTACGCAGCCCAGCAGCCACCCCTTTGAAGGCCGCCCTGTCGATCTTCTCAATGGCATTCCTGGAGAGATCGAGTTCCTCCAGGTGGGAGAGATGCCTGAAGGCATTGCTGGGGATCCTGGTGATGCTGTTGGCATCCAGCTTGAGGAACACTGCGTCTTTGGGGATGTCCTTCGGGATCTCCTCCAAGTGCCGGGAGCTGCAGAGGACGGCCTTCGCCCCTGCTCGCTCTGTGCATTGGCAGCTTGGGGGGCAGGAGCTGCCCCAAGAGACACACAGCAGCAGGTAAAAGAAAGCCTGGGCCACGCTGGCTGCTGGTGTAGTCGTGAGGGTCATCTTGCATCCAGCCAGCTCGGCATGGCTGCTGGCGATTCCCCGGCGGCTGCAACAGCTCCTGGGCAGCAAGGCGGCTCCTCTGTGCTCCTGCAAAGCCTCTCCCATTGCTGGAGGGAAGCAGAGGGTGGAGGGGATATGACACGGCATTATTTCCTGGAATGCCACTTACGTCTCACGTGTAATGTGCCCTGGCAAAGCAGTGAGAGGCTGGGCTCAGGAGCCCAGAAAACAAGGGTGGAATGATACCCTCTAACATCTTTTCCAGGATATCTTAATTTGGCTTAAGACATAGAGCTGCACAGATTAAAAACCCCTCCCCTCTTGCCCCATTTCAGCAGAGGCCACCCGGGCAGGCAGTGGGTGCTGCAGGACGTGGGTGTTGAGGTGGGCATGGCCTAGGTACCTGTGCCCCAGCCTGCTGTCAGTTTCTATGTGGGATGCAGTGATTTTGCTGCTGGAGAACAGCAGCAGTAAATTCCTACCTCTCCAACCCCGAATGTTAAAAAAAAGGAGATGAGTCAGATTCCCTGTGTTATCAGACCGGCTTAATCACCACCAAGGTTTAAATAACAAGATGTAGAGTTCTTCTGCTTTCCCCATCTGGTCTATGAGCTGGTTCAAGCCACATTTCCAAGGGTTTTGCTGAAGCAGGGGGTTGGAGGTGGTTTTGGTTTTTAAAGTAAACAAAGAGTATGGTTTAACAGCCTTATTTAGGAAGCTGGAGCTTAAGAGAAGAGCCACTGACTATCACAATAAGGGGGGTGATCTGGGAGCCCCATGGCCACTGTAGGCCTGCTGGGAATGAGACAGGGAGGTGAAGCACATGGGCTTCCTTTCCTCTGCCCTTATGTGCTACTTGCACCTCTCCTGCTGCTTTGGCCAGGCTGGGGGGAAGAGAGCCCCACGGAGGGGAAAGTTGGGGGGGGGGGGGGGAGGGGATGGTACCCTGGCCAGTTCAGGGAGCCTTTCACCCTGGAATGAAATTGTCCATGGTGATTTAATCAGGAAACCAGCTGGGCACCAAGTTATTATACCCCTATCCCCCTAGTACCAGCATCCTTCTTATATAGGCATCCCCCTGGTAACAGCATCCTCCTAATTAACGGCATTCTCCTGCTAAGAGCATGTTTCAAGCACCAGTATCCCTCAGGTGTGAGCACCCTCAGGGTACCACTCAGGGGATGCTCATACCTGAGGACGCTGACAGTGAACCTGCCTGTGTACCTGCCCAGGGGTGTGGGACTGTGCAATGGAGTCTTCCAGGGGAGATTAAGTCACACTGCCTGAGAATCCCTCTGGCCCTGCAAACGATACCGGGGTCTCTTGGAGGGGGAGGCAGGGATGCACTTTGCCATCCTGGCTCCCAGCGGCTGCCAGAGCCTGCCTCCGTCCCCGGAAGGGCTCCGAGGGACCGCAGCCGCCCAGCCCGACCCCAGCCTGTGCAGGGCGATGCCCAACCGGGGGCTCGCAGCCGGACCTTCCCGAGCGAGGGGCTTGTGAAGCCGGGGCCCCGCGCCGCGCTCCGCACAGCAGAACCGAGCCCGCCGCCCCTCCGCTCCGCCCCGGCTGTCCCGGGGTCACTTACCGGCTCGGCCGGGGCAGCTCCGCTCCGGTGCGGCTGCGGCTGCGGTGCACGGCGGCTCGGCCGCGGCCCCGGCTGCGGGCCAAGCACCGGCCCCACCTGTTGCTGCGGCTGCTCCCGCCGGGGCCGCGGGACGGGAGGGGGCCGACGCGGCGGCACCGAGCGGCGCAGGGGCGGCGCGGGGGGAGGACCTGGGCGGCGCGGGGAAACGGGAGGAGCGGGAGGTGGCGGAGGGGCGGTGGGGACACCGGCAGCACTGCCGCGGGTGCTCCGCGCGAGTGGCCGCACGGAGCCCTTTGGTGCCGCGATTGAGTGGTGCTCGTTAGGTTTCAGCGGCGCTGTGGCTGCTGCTCCGGTTCTGGGCTGCGGGGCTGGAAGCTTTATCAGCTGCTGTAAGGCGCGATTGCCTCTTCCCTCCACAGCCGTTCCCCTGGTCCTCAGCACAGCATGGTGATGGGCCACCATGAGCAGACGTTGAGCAGGCCAAGAGCAATGGGAGGAGGTACAGTGCCGCTGCTTTGGCACACAGCTGGCTTTCCAGCAGCTCCTCAAGTTGACTCAAAATGTGTCATATCATCTCTGCAGCGAGTATTTGGGGCATGATTCTGCAAGCAAAGTGAGTCTGTGCAACAAGAGCGCTCAAACTAGGCTCATTTTAGAAGTGTGCTCCAAATGCAGCCTCCAGGAATGCTCCCTGATCAAACACCGTAACAGACCACCAGCTTTTAGTTGTTTAATACATGGTTTATTGAGCTGGGTTGAATAAATTGCCAGTCTGACACCCACCCTTCCCTCGCCAAGCCCCATTGCGTCACTGGTGAAACTGCAGTTGTGCTGTGGTGGCCACCAGTGCGGGAAGGATAGCCCCGGCTGGCCAGTGTCTAATCCACTGGGAGAGGGTGGGGGAACTGCAATCCCACCCCAAGCAGTCGCAGGTATAATATGCCACCATGGGGCTGTTCTGGACTGTTGAGAGATGTCTCCACTGTGCCTTGTTCTCCCATGGCAGGCACAAAATAAGTGAGTGAGAGTAGAGATGTCTGGGATGGACAAAATGATGTCCTCTCTCCCGTTTTTACCTGCCCAAGGGACTGCAGAGTATGGATCACCTGGGTCCCAGCAAGCTGTCCCTTTCCATCCAGGTGCCCAAGGGGATGGGGCAGGCAGGTGACATTTAGCTGGTGCCTTGGCTCAGACAGCAGGAAGTTCAGCTACAACATGGTGCTCAGCATACACATGCAGGATCACGTAACAGTATGGGACATGGGGACTGGACCTGTGTGAAGCTGTGAAACCATGGGTACATAAGCCAAGAGCATCTCACACCTTCACAAGTGCTGGATCACAGATCACGACCATGTTGTTATGTCTGAGCAACCAGAGATATGGGGACAGCTGCCACAGGACTGACTTGCATGACAGTTAGGACCTTTAGGTGTGAAAGATCCCAATCCTTCTCCAGGGCAATCATCCAGGAGCTGTGGTGATGGGGCTTCCAGGGAGCAGAGCAGGAGCAGGGGAGCAGAGGTGCCCTATGGATGTCCTGTGTAGAAGTGTGGTTGGGATTGACAAGTCTCCAGTGCCCACTCGAAAGCAAAGCACATGTAGGAACTGAGAGAAGGAACACCTTGCAGGAGCAGCCCTGTGGCTCTGCTTGGCCCAAGCCCTGGGCTAGTGCTGTGGTTGATGTGGAAGCACCAAGACACAGCCTGGGGCTGATCCTGGTGGCTCAGGTGACCAGGATGCTGTGTAGGTACTGCCCAGACAGCGCCTGTCCCCAGCTGGTGGGAAGGGGACAGAGACCTGCAATGCACATTCATGGAGGCAACCAAAGTATCTGGTCTCCAGTCTCACAGGTGAGCTGGGGTAGAGCTCCAGGTCCCAACCAAAACCTGGTCTGGGGCAGCAGGAGCCCTGGCCTGTGTCTGAGAACTCAATAGTAGGCATCGAGGAGAGTTGAGACCTTGTGCAGGAGCTTCTTGTGGTTTGCATGCAGGGGGATCCTCTTGTCCAGCACCTGCCAGCGGATACACAGCTCCGGATCACAGCCCTGAAGAAACTAGAAGGGGACCAGAGGCATCATGTATGCACTGCCAGTGAGGAGCCATGCCAGACATGCTCAACAGCACCTCCAGCGCCCAGCCCTTTTTTTCTGGGGCCCCTGTTGCAATGGCACCCCATATTCATCCCCATGTGCTTCCTCCACTGCATGCAGCTGGAGAACCCCAGTCCTATGGAAGGTGAGATGTGGGCCTGGAGATGTGGCTCCCCAGAGAGCTGGGTCAGGGAGTTGCAGAGAGACCCATACCGAGTTCAGCCGCTTCATCTCCACATCATTCTGGCTGCTGAAGTGCACGCTGACAGCGACTGTCTCAACCCAGGCATTATCTGTGTTGCGGGGGTCGTCAAGATACCCCTTGTGTACCTGTGCACAGTGAAGGAGTGCAACATGAGCAGAGGCCTTAGTACCTATCTAAGCGAACCAACAGGCAGTGATGGGGCATCGTGCCACAGATTGTTTGCTATTCTAGAGACCATCACCCTGTTACCACTGCACCTGGAGCTGTGGAGAGCAATCACAGCAGGCACAGACACTGGTGTGTGTGGCGGATCCCTGAGCTGCCTCCCTGCATGGTGCGAGACTATCACAGTGTGTTTCCACCTCCCCAAGCCATCCCTCCCCCGTGGGAGCACTGGCCAAGGGGTGATGCACCCTGCCCCTGTACCCTGGGGACACGCATGTGACCCTGTAGCACCATGATGTCCACATGTCCCTTTACTGTTGTGATGCCCACATGTCTCTGTACCACTGGGACACACACACGCTCCCACCTCAGTGCCTTGTTTCAGCAAGTTCTGGAACTGGGGCCAGAATTCCCGGCGCAGGATCCACTTCAGCTTTAGTGGCAATGTCTCACCTGGCTCCAGTGACCCCTGTGCCAAAGCAGATGTCAGACGTGGGACCTGCCATTAGCCCAGCCCAGCCTCCTCACTGGCACCAGCTTGGCTATCAGGCAGTTGCCACCACTGCAGAAGATGCCACAAGCTCTGGTGGGGAGAGCAATCAGCAGTGATTCCTCTTTCCTTCCCTTTTCCCCTCCCTCTCCCACCAGAAGTCCTCAGGTGTGCCCAGGCAGATATCTGAGTTTGCCTGATTCAGCCCTGGATTCATTCCTTTTCTGTTGGAGGACTCTCTGCCAATGGTTTCACATGCCCACATGAATGACATGTGAGAACTGAAGCCATGGGGGAGAAGCAGGAGGCAGTGGGTCAGGGTAAGGGTCTGCAACAGGACCACTGCTCACCCAGCACCGCTGGCATCACAGCTCCACATGCAAATGCTCTACAGGAAGGGCAGAGGTACCTCCTTGGACAAGGCTGTGTCTCCTGCCTGTGTTCTTCCCTTTTCTGCAGGACATCCAGCTCTCAGCTGGACCCATCTCCCCAGACCCTTCCACACCAGCTGGTTTCTACCAGCTCTTACCCCAGGCAGAGCCCAGACGTCCGACAGCGGGTACTGTGCTACAAGGACTTCCAGCATCTTCTTCAGGCTCTTCCTTATAATGGACCCATCCAAATTCCTCCTCCACCTGTGAGAGAGGCCCCTGTTATGCTGCAGCTGGACTCAACTCTCCCCTGCCCAGCAGTGGTTGAACAGGCAAGGGTGGGTTTTGCCAGGTCCTGGTCTCTCTCAGATGGCTCTGTGCCCCCTTTTCCATGCCACCTCCCCAGCTCTGTCCTGGAGCAGGACACCTCTCTGTCCTCACACACTCACCGGGTCACAACGGGGTGCAGGGCATGGTTGGGACCAAAGCAGTGCAACCTCCCTCGGCCTCGCAGACCCGTCCTGCCCATGGGGTTCCTGGCAGGAAGAGAGCAAGTATGCTGTGATGGTGCCAGGGACCGTCTGTGCACCATGCTGATAAAAGCCCTGTACTGCTCCCCAGATTTCCCCCAGTGCACTGCACCTCTTCTGGACTCTGGAGTTTTTTGAAGGGCAAGGAGGGGAACAGTCATGAGGATGATGCATGCCATTATCCCTACCCCACCATTAGCTGTAGGGAAGTGGGAAGGGGATGAGTGCATATAGGCCATACTGAACTCTCTGGTGCTTTGCCTACAAACTGGCACCCCATCTCCCACTAAGTCCACCTGCCCCCATGGTGGATGCACTCACAAGGGCAGCCCATCCTGCACAGTGTAGAGGCCATGGAAGCTCTGCCGGTCGATTAGCCCGTCCATGGTGTTGTAGTTGATCTTCAGGAGAGACTCCAAGGAGCTGGGGGGCAGGAGGCAGCCCGGCAGGGAGGGCTGGCTATGCCACCCAGGGGAAGGGGCAGAGGAGCAGGCAGCCACAGAGGGACACTCACAGGCTGAACGGATCCTGCACAGCCATGTCCTTGTGCTCAGCAGAGTAAGTGGGAGGGTCGTATAGTGCAAAGTCCACCTGCAGAGCACATGGCATATCAGGGACCCTGGAGACGCTGTCTGCCCCAGTCCCATCCTCTGCCCAGCTTGTGGCATCACCTCCCGAGGAATGTAGGGCTCCAGGTCCTGCTTGGGGACTGAGCTCAGGGTCTTGGCTGGGGGGCTGGTGCCTCTCACTCATGCCCCTGTGGAAGCCAGTGCCAGATCCTGTCCCTGACCGTGAGCCAGCCCTGACTCAGGAATTGCAGAGGTAGGTGGCTGTACTCTCTGCTTCCTAACCAGTCATCACCAGGTATCCCTAGCATTGCAGATCCCAGAAGGAATGGTGCCCGTTCACCTCTCCTTCTCCCTTGCAGAGTCTCATAAGCTGCTCCAGGAACCCCCTTGTCCCAGGGCTGGGAACAACAGGAGCTCCCAAGTGTGACACAAGTGTGACACGGGGTCTGTTCTTCTTCCCATCGCCATGGGGATCTGCCCCATCGTGCCCCCTACCAGCCCTGCTGCCCAGGACCACAGCTCCTACCTCCCAGGGCACCTTCTCATCCGGCACAGGGAAGCGGCGGGTGTGGGACCCTGGGTACAGGAGGTTTCGGGCAAGCACATGGTATGGGGACTGGCTCTCCTCGGGTTTCCTCTCCAGGTCAAACTCCTTTGTCTCCAAGGC